TTCTAGTCTTCTATTGGTTGTCTGTTATTTTGCTTGGCGTGCTCCTTCCCTTCTTCATCTTCACACACACACAGGTTAGGAAGCTGTAAACGAGAGACTCCTAGGATAGCTGCCTACCTTATATCCAGTACCTTTTCTTACTTTGAAACCAAATTCTTATTTCTAGCTGAGTGTACTGTTGATCAGAATAAAAATGTACTTTCCAGCTTCCCTGGCAACTACATATAACAAACGGGATGTAACCAAGGTGTTGTGTGAGACTTCCAGGAAGCCTCTTAAAAGGAAGTTCAGTTGCCATCTTGGACTGAGGGGATAGAAGCCAAGCACTGGGCGGGTAGAAAGACAGAAGAATCTGCATTCCTAATAACCTGGGAGCTGCTATGTCCCGGGATGCTGCTTTCTGTTCTTCATTTCCAGGAGAGAGACATGCATGTCTTTTCTCTTTTTTTTTTAGGAGAGGTTTTTGCTATAGGGTGCATGCGCTCGCCAGAGAGACAGAGAAGAGAGACAGAAAGCGAGAAATCACCCCCCAGGAGGTATGGCCACACCGCAATCCCTTCTCCTCCATTCTCCTCTTGGGATTTTGGGGAAGCACACACACGCGCCTGGCGTGAGTTTAAGCCACCGGGTCCGAGACTCAAACCATGGTCAACTACATGGGAGTTCAGCGACACAGCCATTACGCCAACTGCTAGTCCCATGTCTTTTCTTTCTAAGCCACTAATCTGCAGGTCTCTTTTACTAGAGGCTGAAAGTGATTTTTAATATAGAAATTATAGAAGGCTCTAGAATTTTTATTTTGTAAAAAAACACATACTGAACTACCAATTTTAGAAAACAAATAATAATTCTATTTCTAGTTAAATAAATATACTTACTTAATAAAAAATGAGAAATTCAGGGTTCAACTCTGTTTCTTGTGTTACATGCTTTCCTTCCAGGTTAACTCCTACTCTTGGTAGATGAAAATTGAGGCTGACACGTAGAGAGAAGCTGAGGTAAAAGAGTAAACACTCCTAATGGTATCCTAGCCTTCGGTGTCCATGTCCTTACCTCTGCCCTTTTGGAGGACTGGGTATACAGACCGACAACTTGTGCTTATTTGTTGTCACTTGAAGACAAAGAATTCTGATGAAAAGAAAGCAAGCTACTGAACAGATGTGTTCTGTGGCATTTGCCTTATTTATCCACGGCAAAGTAACTCGAAACAGCATAGATTTAAATTCTTAGAGAGGAAGTTGATTTAAAAAAAAAGATAATAAAGAAGAACATACACAGGAAAATCACTAGAAGAGAGATAAAAATGAAGGAACTAAAAATAACCAGGCCCAGAATGCTGCCTGATTTATCAAACTTGTCAACAGTGGCAGTTAAGAGCAGAAATCTGTTCTTGAAGGGAAAAAAACAGGCTAAAGTTATCAAATTATATTAGACCTCAAAGAAACCACAGAGATAACCGTTAATAATACATCTTTATGTTTCAACTATGTCAAATAATCTAAGGACAATATTTACATATTAAACTTCTTTTTAAAATTCTCTCTCATCGTTTTGTATTCAAACACAATATATGGATAATGTATTATTACAATTTAATTCAAAATTTCATTCATAAATTTGGGAGGGTGGGGGGGGCAGGCTCTGTCTTCTACACAAGGCTAAAGTTAATTTTGTGAGACATGAAATACCTTATGTATTTCTAAGATCTCGCTAGAATCCGCCCCGCCCCCCGCCCCCCAGCCCTGATAATGACAGTAGAATGAAAGTCCAAATTTAGCAAAGGCATTTATCTAGGCCACAAACAATTGTTTAACTAAAGCAAAATTTAAAAAAAAAAAAGGCAGAATAAGTTTTTAAAAGGTTTTTAGCAGGCCAATGCACTCACCAGAGAAAGAGAGAGAAAAAGCACCCTCCCCCCAAATGGGGCATGGTCATACTACATTCCCTCCCCCACCTCTCCCTCCAGGGGATGTGGGGCACACATGAGTGTTCAGCATGCTTTTTGAGCTGCTGGAGCCAGGATTTCAACCACTCCCTTAACCACTAGGCTACAGGGTGAGTCCAGGAAAAAATTTCTATTATGACATTCACTTTAAATATATTCTTAAATTTCCTTAACTATAATTGCCTAAAAAGCAAATTATGTACATTCTCTATAAAAGATATCAACAAGCAATTTATGAGTTAAAATGAGTACTTAGAAAATAAAGTAATTACCTTTGATGCCAGATTGTCTACTAGAGCAATCATAGAGTTCTTAAACAGGGTGGCAGCAGTTAGAGGTCGCTTAGTCACCTCCGTGATACTCAGTTTACCCTCAGGCCACATGTTCTTCAGCACAGGATTTGAACTGAGAAACACAGAAAGAGCACTGCAAATGTTATATTTGAACAGGCGGAACAATCACTCCACATTGGCCAGTGGACTCATGCGTTCTGTGGAACAGTTCCCCCACCCCAAGTCCATGGATTCAGTGGACTCATCCGTTTATGAGGAAACTCCTCACCCTCAGGCCGGAAGCTGATACCTGGTACACTCCTCCCAGGCACACCCTGGGAACCTCCCTAAGCATCTGCATCCTCCCCCTTGCGGGAGACTCCTGGGGGTCTGGACTCTTCTAACTCCAAGGTCTCATTGCTGCCCTTGCCCAGATGCCCAGGGTCGAACGCACTCCTGGACGACAGTCCGGTCTCCACATTTCTGCTTCCCCTGGTCCCCATGGTACAGTTCTTCAGTGGTCCTGGCCCCACCCAGCCCCTGGGCAGCCCTGCTGTACCACTTCCACCAGACCCAGGGAGGAGGCAGACAGCAGGTGCTGCACGCCCCTCTGCGCCCTGGGGAGTTGGGGAAAGGAACTGAACCCTGGCTGAGGGGGAAGGAAGGCTTTTAATTGATTTCTCTTTCTTTTGAGGCTTTCCCCTCTCTGAGCTGGTTTTCATTTTCTCCTGGTGGCATTAGCCACTCCCTGCCGCCCACTCCAGACTTGTTCCTACCACTGGGAGGTGGGCCTAGAGCAAAAGGAGAGGATGGGGCCTAGTTTCATGTGGTTGGTTTTTATTAATTAACTGGATGACAGCAAGAAACTGAGAAGAAAGATAGAGAGTGAGAAAAAATTTTGCTAAGTAATCCCATGGAGCTGTATCCCGCGGATCACAGTGCAGTGCAGACCGAATCACAGGGCCTAATTGAAAAGTTATTCCATCCAGAAAATGGAATGACCCATAGTGCAACACAAATAAGAGGTATTTCCCCCAAACTACAACACATTTAAAACTTCCCTTAAAACTTCTTTAAATTGATATTGATATTATTATTTCTAGGACTCTCAGATGATCAACATGGCTCTTACAGATTGTTTTTTTGTGATGGTTAAAAAGCTAAGATAAGGCACCAGCAGATGGTGTAATGGTTACATCGCTAGACTCCCACATAGCTGACTGCAGTTCAAGTCCCAGACCCAGTGGCTTAAAACTCATGTCAGAGACACCCAGAAAGAAGAGTTCAAAAACAACTAAGAAAATGGCCAGCTTAATGGTAGGGACCAGTCCAGAGTTGAATGTTATCTTCCAGAATTTAATCGGAAAGATCGGAGCACAACAGAAGATAAAGTATTGATTATATATAGATTATGGATTATATCTATTATCTCTCTATATAGATAGATATATTTAATATATAGATTATATATTCAGATTCAGACTGAACTGGTGAAATAGAATTTTATGACTTTTGACTAAAACATTACTTATCTTCTATGCTTTGTTTACCAGAGTTAAGGATTTTTGTCTTGAGCTGTCGACAGGTCCATGAACCTACTGTTTGAACAGAATTCTAACTGTTTCCTGGATTTAAGTCTTGTGCAAAGTTTCCTTAACATTTTTCAATTTTGATTTATTAAAGCTAAAACTGCCTTTCTTGAAATAAAAAAATATACTAAAAAATACCTATTTAATGAGCACAGTAAACTAGGTGCTACTTTATAGTATATTCATTCTACTCAGAGTTTCATGTCTAAAGTCAAACATGTGTTCAGATATGTATATATCAGCTGAACTTGCTATTAAAAGTAATGAGATTAACTAAGATATTTTTTGAATTAATAAAATGTGGGAAAAAATAAAAAGTAATGGAAAGTAACTGTAGATACCAGAGACAGTGTGGGAGGGAGATAGGAAATGGCAGAGGGTGAGATATGGGGGGAATAAACAAGAAATGGAAAATTATTTGTTGACGATTACATGTATAATTAAGCCATTATAAAGTGTATTCTGGATGGGAAATTGCATTTGTATGCTGTGATGATGTTCAGTGATGTTCAGTGAATGTGAAATAAAGAAATAAATTAAAAAACAACAATAACAACAACAACAAAAAACTCATGCTGGGCGTGTGTGTGTGTGTGTGTGTGCCCAAAATCCAAGAGGAGACTGGATAAGAAGGGACTGTGGTGTGGCCATCGCCCTGTGCAGGGTGATTTCTCACTTTCTGTCTCTTTGTCTCTCTGTCTCTCTGGCAAGTGCATGCACCCTATAGCAAAAATCTCTCTTAAGAAAAAAAAGTTAAGGGACCAGCAGTTAGCATAATGGCTGTCGCTGGACTCCCACGTAGTCGACTGCGGTTCGCGTCCTGGACCCCGTGGCTTAAACTCATGTCAGGTGCGTGTGCGTGCGTGCCCAAGATCCCGAGAGGAGAATGGAGGAGAAGGGATTACAGCGTGGCCATCCCCTCTGGGGGGTGATTTCTCGCTTTCTGTCTCTCTGTCTCTCTCTGTTGTTCTGGCGAGCACACACACCCTATAGAAAAACCTCTCCAAAAAAAAGAAAAGAAAAAGTTAAGACAAACCATTAACAGGAAAATGATCCTCAATGTCATGGTAGAAAACATGATAGTGAAAACATCCCATTGAAGGATCAGTAGTTAGTGTAATGGCTATGTTGCTGGACTTTCATGTAGTCGACCACGGTTCGAGTCCCAGACCCAGTGGCTTAAAACTCATGCCAGGCATGTGTGCATGTGTGCCCAAGATCCCAAGAGGAGGATGGAGGAGAAGGGATTGTAGTGTGGCTATCTCCGTCTCCCCGGGGATGATTTCTCACTTTCTGTCTCTCTAGTGAGCGCACGTGCCCCATAGCAAAAACCTCTCAAAAAAAAAAAAAAAAAAAAAAAAAAAAAGAAAAGAAAAAACATCCCATTGAGAGAAACATTCATACATTTGGGTAACATTAGAAAAAGCCAGCCCTTTCAAAAAATACAGATAGGAATATAAAATATTCGTTTTTACACGGTCTTCCAGTAAACTCCTTTACTGTAGTTGGATTTATGAACACATTTATAGGTAGTTCTGGCAGTTAAAATATTTTATTGATCTGACACAAGGACTGTTGCAATTTAATTCTAAAAATGTACTCTGGACCAATTTTCAAGTTAAAAACTGCATATTTATGAGTTGGCTTTTTACAAAATGTGTGGTGATCTCAAATATGATTTTCTTCATTTCATTTTGAGTAATTCTTTTGATTTTAAGGTGATTTGAAATGTTGCTCACTTCCTGCAAATTTTTCTCTTATCAAAAATTTTTTTGGGACCAGCAGATGGCATAATGGTTACATTGCTGAACTCCCCCATAGCTTGAGCCCAAAGTCCTGGGAGGAGAGTGGAGAAGGGATTGGGACAAGACCATGCCCCCCAAAGGAGGTTTATTTCTCACCTTCTGTTTTCTGTTCCTAGGGTGAGTGCACACACCTTGTAGCAAAAATCTCAAAAAAAAAATTTTTTTTTTCTTGAAAGGTTGAGGATTGGGAACAGCAGATGGCATAGTGGTTATGTCACTGGCCTCCCACGTAGTTGACCACAGTTTGAGTCCCAGACCTGGTGGCTTGAAACTCACACTGAGCACATGTGTGTTTGTGCCCAAAATCCTGAGAGGAAACTCGAGGAGGGACTGTGGCATGGCCATCCGCCCTGGGGGGTGGTTTCTTTTTTTCTGTCTTTCTGTCTCTCCGGTGAGCGCACACTCCACTTCTTAAAAAAAAAAAAAAGGCTGAGGATTGAAAGAAGAAAGAATTAACATGAAGAGTCATTGCTAGTTGTGCTTACTAATGTGATCATTTTGTCCACTTTTCTTTCCCTTGTTTAAAATGGAGAAAATTCCCCAAAGCACCTACTAAATTTCTATACATAATGCTCAAAATGGTTGCAGGGGCCGGACAGTGGCACAGTGGTGTAACGCTCAGTGAGGCAACCCACATAGCAGGATTCTGGGTTTGCGTCCTGAGAATCCCCTGAGTAAGTGTGATCAAGACTGGTTGAACTGAGGGTGGATCATGGCATGAGGACTGTCATGGGTCCCTGTCTCTCTCTTTCTCTTTCTTTCCTCATGGAAGAATGAAATACACTTAAAAAAAAAAAAAGCTGCAATGGAAGAATGGATGACAAGGGACTGAAGAGGACAGATATGTGGGGATAGCCTGGGTTTGTGAATGCAGACAAAGCAATGCTCTATCCCACAGCATCCTCAGCAAATAGTCCAAATCCCATCAAAATGGTTACAAAATAATGTAATCATCTGTGGCTTATGGACTCAGTTTTATCACCTCATAGTCATATTCCAAAATTTTCCAATTGCACACTGTATCAGTAAGAATAATCACATAAATGCATACTGTTTTTCCTAACTTTTCCATTCTTATCTTTAGCAAAGAAACAATTTAAGGGAATGGTTCTCAACTTAAAAGTGCACATGGATGCTTTTCTAACACCTACTGAGTAGAATCTGCAGAAGGTACTTTGTGTACTTTGTAAATTCTGATGCATATCAAAAGACTGAAGATTCCTGGCTTTGGGTCTATGTGTGTATTTGTTTTTTAGTCTTTTGCCATAGGGCATATGTGCTCACAGAGAGAGATAGAGAGATGGGGGGCAGGGGAGAGTGAGAAATCACTCCCAGAGGGGATGGCTACACCACAATCCCTCTCCTCCATTCTCCTCTTGAGATTTTTGGACATGTATGCACGTTCACCCAGGGTGTTTTTCAAGCCACTGGGTCTAGGACTTGAACTACAGAGTCAGACATGTGGGATCCAGCACCTTAACCACCACACCACCTGCCAGCCTGGGTCTATGTGGTTTTTACTCCAAATTATTTTTCCACCTTACTTACTGTTGGCTGTATAGAAACCATCCCTAAACTATGCTATAAAGTAAAGGAGGGGGAAAGATTAGAAATGGAGGAAATAAAGGGATATATTAAAGAGTAGAACTGATACATAATGAATCCAAATAGACACATAGAGGGTAAAGAGGATGAATTTTTAGGCCAGTAAGTCATGAATATAATATTTTCCTTTTTTTTTTTTTTTGAGAAGTTTTTGCTATAGGGTGCATTCATTCACCAGAAAGACAGACAGAGAAACAGAAAACAAGAAATCACCCCACAGGGGGAATGGCCATGCCATAATCCCTTCTCCTCCATTCTTGTCTCGGGATCTTGGGCATGCACGCACATGTGCCCGGCATGTGTTTAAGGCACTGGGTCTGGGACTCACACTGTGGTCGACTACATGGGAGTCCAGCAACATAGCCATTGCACTAACTGCTGGTCCCAATACTCTCCTCCTTTTTTTTTTTTTTTTTTTTTTTGAGAGAGATTTTTCCTATAGGCCACGTGTGCTCATCAGACAGAGATGGACAGAGAGACTGAAAGTGACACATCACTCCCCAGGAGAGATGGCCACACTGCAATCCCTTCTCTTCCATTCTCCTCTTAGGATCTTGGGCATGCACACACACACTCCTTGCATGAGTTTTTTTATGCCACTGGGTCAGAGACTCGAACCGCAGTCAACTATGTGGGAGTCCAGCATAACCATTATGCCATCTGCTGGTCCCAGTCATGAATATAATATTAACACATTTTAAATATCAGAACCTTTTCCTTAAAAAAGAAGTTTACCTAGAAACCCAGTCTGTATAATAGATAAGGCAGATCTTACCGGCTAACAAGAAAGTAGTACAGAGTCTATGTACATTGCATGCTACCTGCTAGCTCTGTTCCTCTCCATCTGCACGTACACACACACACATGCTCATACACAGACATGCATACATACTTTCAAAGTCGACAGAACTAGCAATACAAGGACCACTACTTAAAAATCATCATATTGACATAATAATAAGAAAGAATGGATTAAAATTGAGAGAGGCTGGTTAGCAAGGAAGTATCAAAAAGTGTAAAGATAAAAATGACCTATCTAAATACCATCTAGGAGGATCAATTTAGGTCAAAGAAATCTCAAGACATTCCATCCCATTGGTAAGGCCTTTCCTATTATGAAGATATAAGGAAACCTCAAAGAATTCAAGGAAAAGGCAAATTAAAGTATGATTTTATTTTATTGCAAAGTTTTCTTTGGAAATCTGTAGTTTTTTCAAAAAATTCATTTTCCAAGAAGTTTTTTGAGGAAACTATATATATTGATAATAAATTGCTGCCAATAGACTTTGAATTGTTTTACCTCTTTGACAAGACTACCCTTACGGTGAAGTAGATTCATCTTAGCCTGACGTGTTTAATTGTTGTATTTATCTAAGTTCCTTTGTTCTGATTCTGTGCTAACCAAGCAACTAAGCATTCTGGATTCTACGGGTGATATTTTTCACTGTCAATTAATAAACGAGAATTCTCACTGCTATTTGACTTCCCAAGCAGGTTTCCCAAAAGGGAAAAATAGCTTGTCATCCCACACAAGTATTCCATGGAACTGGACCCACGTGCTGCTTTGTCTCTGCACTGGCCCTGTGAGCATGGGTTATGCTAGTCCATCACTGAGGGCGAGCTGTTCTCAGTGAGCTGGACCTCTGGGCTATGATAAACTTATGAAGGTGAAGAACACCAGCTCGAGCAGCCTCTTGGCTCACAGCCTGCAACACACTCTGACATCATCACTGGCCAAATGAGGGTGCTTTTACTGATTTAAAACACTGTAACATTTTTTGCACAGGGCAATGCTAGACTATTATTTGTCCCTCAAAATCATCTTCCCTGGTAAATGAAGCACTTAAATTCTTTTCTGAAAGTCCCTTTCCCCCATGCCCAGCTCTTGCATGGATCCCGTCTTATATTCCTTTGTCTCTGTAACTTTGTACTGATGGTAGCTCCAGCACTGTTCTTGGTGGCTTCAACCTCCACACAGATGAACCATTTTATAGCCAAATGTCTTGGAAGACTCACACAATGCCTTTACAATTGCTATATTTTCTCAAGCCTGTGGCATTCAGACATCTGTCTTCACTGCTCTGTGGAAGCCAGTGTTGTCAAGGGTCCCACTGATCTTTGTCTCAGCAACTCTAGTTGTCAGTGATGTGAGGACCAACAGCTCAACTGATGTGCTTAATTGTTGGACTTATCTAAGTTCTTCTGTTCTGATTCTGTGCTAACCAAGCAACTAAGCATTCTGGATGCTACAGGTGATAGACTAGATAGACCTAGTTGTCTTGGTCCTCACACCACTCCTGCTTTTGACAGGATTGGACACAGTTTATTATTATTTTTTTCTTCTTAAAGTATTTTTTTCTTGGCTTGGCCTCCATGATGCCACATTCCTGGTTTTCTTCCTGTCTCACTGGCAAGCTCTCAGTCTCCTTTGCTAGTTCCTCCTTTCTGGCTACTCTGTGAAGCATCAGTATCTCAGGGATTAGTCTTCCAACCTCTTCTCTCTAATTACTTTATGAAACATATCCTCACTCCCTAGACAATCTTACTCAATTTTATGGTGTAAATTAATATTCTGATGACCATGAATTTTTATCTCTGGTCTACCTTGTATCTCTCTGGAGACTCAGAAACACAAATGCAATTGCCTACCTGGTATTTCCAGTGGAATGTCCAATATGCACCTCAGACATCATGTATTCAAAATAAAACTCTTGATCTCCCCCACCTTTTTCCCTTGTCTTCCTGTATCAGGCTTGGGCATCATCTCTCTCTCTTTCTCTCCTTTTTTTTAATCTTTCTCTCATATCACCTGTTCTGTCTTTCAGCAAATCTTATTCTATTTTCACATATCACCCAATCTGACCCCTTTCTCTCTGTTTTTATTACCTGAATGTCAGTCTGGATTAGTATACTGGTTCCCCAGTCCCAGTCTTGCCCTTGACAGCACGCATTTTACACAGTAGCACTACTGATCTCTCTAAAAACTAAACCACATCCCGCCATAAAGTCTAATGGCTTCCCTTCATACTTTATCCTTACCTTGGCTCACGGACTTTATGACCCAGGCTCTGCCTATCTCTCTAAATTCAGTCCCCACCACTCTCACCCCCCCCCCCCCCCACCGCCCCCACA